TTCTAGTTATTATTATTATAATAAGTATTATCCATTGTTTTAATTTTATTATTGTCACTATCATTACTACTACTATCATTACTATTATCATTATCATTGCTTTTATTATCATCATCATCATTACTTTTATCATTATTATTATAATCATTATTATTGCGTCTACTACTACCACTACTAATACTACTATTATTACTATTAAGGCTATCATCATTAGAACTATTATCATTATCATCCTTACTATCATTATATCATTGTTATCATTTGAAAAGGCTCATCATTCTAATCCAGATCACCCACCAATAATTGTCATGTTATTTCAGCAATCACCTTTATCAATACAGAAGTTCACATCCTCACTTTAAGCTCATTGGTATTCTTAACCAATAAAATTAAATCTAATTTTTTGGTGATTAATCAGATCTAAATAAACCATAAATCAGTCAAGTCAAAATATAATTTCCTTATTTATCAAATCAAAATTCACATTCTTTTTTTCTGCTGAATGTAATATAAATCATCCATTATTAATTGAAAAATGTTGATTAATGAAATTCAAATCCTCTAAATTAATATCACCATCAATTAATTTTTTAAAAAATGAATAAATGAATATATATCTCCCAAATCTGATATAACCACCATTCAAAAGAAATTAATGAATAAACTAACGAATGAATAATTACATAAATACATAAAAAATAAAAAAAAAATCAATAAACGTCTAGATAAGTAAACAAACAAACAGATACACAAACTAATCAACCAACAAATATACAAATATATACACAGAAAGCAAACAAACACACACGACTCAACAAATAAATTCAAAAAAGCAAACTTACCACAAACAAACAGATACATAAACCAACAAACTAACAAACAAGCAGATATATAAATACACAAACAAACAAAACAAACAAATTAAGAAATCCAACAAACAAATACACAAACAAACAAACAAGAAACAAAAACAAATAAAAATTACGAACCCACCAACCGTAATACATACCCAAGATATAACCCGTATTGGCCGTGTTAGGCTGCAGGAGACCCAAGAGAAAAAAATACATCAAGAAATCCAACAAACAAATACATAAATACACAAACAAACAACCAAAACAAAAACAAAACAACAAAATCAAGAAACAAAGAAAATAAAATTACGAACCCACCAACCGTAATACAAACAAATAAATCAAACAAACAAACAACAAAATGAAAAAAAATATAAAATTACAAACCCACTAAACCCAAAAATAAACAAAATCAAGAAATAAAAAAAACACGAACCCACCAACCGTAAATACATACCCAAGATATAACCCGTATTGGCCGTGTTAGGCTGCAGGAGACCAAAGAGAAACAAAACATCAAGAAATCCAACAAAACAAATACAAAAACACACAAACAAACAACCAAAAAACCCAAAAATAAACAAAATCAAGAAATAAAAAAGAAACACACAAATCCACCAACCCTAATACATACCCAAGATATAACCCGTATTGGCCGTGTTAGGCTGCAGGAGACCCAGGAGAAACCGGGCAACAAGGAGAGCCGAGAGGTTGGGCAGCCAGGTCGAAATTGTCGCTAGGAAGACGAAGGCCAGGGCGCCGATCAGGACGAGGGGTTTCCGTCCGTACCTTCGAAAGAGGAAAGGAGATGAATGTGATGATAAGGAGGGAAGGAAGTGGAGGAGGAAGAGGTAGAGTACGAAGAGGAGTTCGAGAAGGACAAGGAGAAGGAAAGGGAAGAGGGAGGACGAGGGGTTTCCGTCCGTACCTTCGAAAAGAGGAAAGGAAAATTAAGGTGATGATAAGGAGGGAAGGAAGTGGAGGAGGAAGAGGTAGAGTACGAAGAGGAGGAGTTGGAGAAGGAAGAGGAGGAGGGTGAGAAGGAGGACGAGGGGTTTCCGTCCGTACCTTCGAAAGAGGAAAGGAGAAATTAAGGTGATGATAAGGAGGGAAGGAAGTGGAGGAGGAAGAGGTAGGGTACGAGAATTGGAGAAGGAAGAGGAGGAGGAAGAGAGGGTACGAGAATTGGAGAAGGAAGAGGAGGAGGGTGAGAAGGAGGACGAGGGGTTTCCGTCCGTACCTTCGAAAGAGGAAAGGAGATGAATGTGATGATAAAGAGGGAAGGAAGTGGAGGAGGAAGAGGTAGGGTACGAGAATTGGAGAAGGAAGAGGAGGGTGAGAAGGAGGACGAGGGGTTTCCGTCCGTACCTTCGAAAGAGGAAAGGAGAAATTAAGGTGATGATAAGGAGGGAAGGAAGTGGAGGAGGAAGAGGTAGGGTACGAGAATTGGAGAAGGAAGAGGTAGGGTACGAGAATTGGAGAAGGAAGAGGAGGAGGGTGAGAAGGAGGACGAGGGGTTTCCGTCCGTACCTTCGAAAGAGGAAAGGAGATGAATGTGATGATAAAGAGGGAAGGAAGTGGAGGAGGAAGAGGTAGAGTACGAAGAGGAGGAGTTGGAGAAGGAAGAGGAGGAGGGTGAGAAGGAG